AAGGTGTCCCTGCTGATGGCAGGGGGGTTGGAACTGGATGAGCTTTCAGGTCCCTTCCAACCCAAACCAGTCTGTGATTCTTAGGCTGTGGTTGCTGCTCAAGGGTTGGGGACTGCAGTTCTGGAAGATTTACCAGCCACTTAAGTCAGGATCTCTTCTTCTTCCCCATCTGTGCTCCAGCTTGGCCATCCTCACGCCTGTTCTGGGTGATGGAGACCATGAGCAGACACTGAGTAAGCCAAGAGCAATGGGCAAAGGTACCATGCCACCACCTTGGCACACAGCTTGCTTCCCAGAAGCAACTCCCATCGACTCTTAACATGTCAAGTCATCTCTGCAGTCAGCACAGGTGAGTCTGCAAAGTGAGTTTGTGCAGCAAGATTGGGGGTGGGAACACTCAAACTGGGCTCCTCCTGGCAGTGCGCTCCAAGAAGGGTCCCCAGGAGTGGCCCCTGGTTAAACAGCCGTAACAGACCACCAGCCTTTAGTTATTTACTACATGGTTTATTGAGCTGGGTTGACTAAATTGCCAGTCTGACCCCACTTCGACAAGCCTCAGTGCCACACTGGTGAAACTTCAGTTGTGCTGTGGTGGCCACCCATGTGGGAAGACCAGCCCTGGCTGGCCAGTGTCTGATCCATCAGGAGAGTGTGGGAAAACTGGAGTCTCTCCCTGAGCCATCCCAGGTACAATATGTCACCATGGGGCTGTTCTGGGCTATCAGATGTCTCCACTGTGCCTTGTTCTCCCCATGACAGGCAACAGACATGGTGACTGAAGGACCCCTTAAGAGCAGAGATGTCTAGGCTGGACACACTGATGTCCTCTCTCCTGTCCCTACCTGCCCAAGGGACCACAGAGCCTGGATCACACAGGTCCCAGCAAGCTGCCCCTTTCCGTCCATGTGCACAGGGGATGGGGGCAAGCAGGTGACATTTAGCTGGTGCCTTGGCAGAGGGAAGGAGTGCAGCTACAAGATGGTGCTCAGCACACCCACGCAGGATCACACATCTGGGACATGAGGGGTGGACATATGTGGAGCCATGAAACCATAGATATATATGCCAAGAGCTACTCACACCTTCAGAAGTGCTGGATCACAGCTCAGGACCATGTTGTTGGGTCTGAGGCAACCAGAGCTATGGGGACAGCTGCCACAGGAGTGACTTGCAGAGCAGTGAGGAGCTTTAGGTTCAAAAGACCCCAAGCCTTCTCCAGAGCAATCCTCTGGGAGCTGTGGCAGTGGAGCTGCCAGGGCTTGGAGCAGGAGCTGTGGAGCAGAGGAGCTCAATGGATATCCTTGGTGGAGGAGTTAGCTGGGGCTAGCAAGTTCCCAGTGCTCCCACCAAAGCACTGGTGTGGGCACTGGTGTGGGCACTGGAGCAGGTGGGAGCTGAGAGAAGAAATATCTTGCAGGAACAACCCAACGGCTCTGCTTGACCCAAGCTCAGGGCTAGTGCTGTGGCTGATGTGGAAGCACTGAGAGACAAGCTGAAGCTGAGCTTGGTGGCCCAGGTGACCAGGATGACATGTAGGCACTGCCGAGGCAGCCCCTGCCCCTGACTGCTGGGGAAGGGACAGTTTTCCTCCCAGAACCTGCAAGGTATGTTCATGGAGGCAACCAAAGTATCTGGTCTCCAGTAGCTGCCCATGGTGTCTCAGGTGGGCTGTGGTAGAGCTGTGGGTCCTAACCAGAACCTGGTCTGGGGCAGCAGGAGCCCTGGCCTGTGCTTGAGGACTCAGTAGTAGGCGCTGAGGAGGGTTGAGACCTTGTGCAGAAGCTCCTTGTGGTTGGCGTGCAGCGGGATCCTCTTGTCCAGCACCTGCCAGCGGATGCACAGCTCCGGGTCGCAGCCCTGAAGGAACTGGAAGGGGACCAGAGACATCATGTATGCGCTGATGGCAAGGGGCCATGCCAGCCATGCTCAACAGCATCTCCAGTCCCCAACCTCCTGCCCTTTATTTCAGGGGCCTCCATGCAATGCCACCCCATGTTCATCTCCATGTTCTTCCTCCACTGCATGCAGCTGGAGAAGTCCACTCCTGATGAGGGTGAGATTTGGGTCTGGAGATCTGGTTCCCTTGCCCCATGCCTGCTGAGAGCTGGGTCAGAGGGCTGCAGAGGTGAGGAGTCCATACCGAATTCAGTCGCTTCATCTCCACATCATTCTGGTTGTCGAAGTGCACGCTGATGGCAACCGTCTCCACCCAGGCGTTGTCCGTGTTGCGGGGATCATCGAGGTACCCCTTGTGTATCTGCGCACAGTGATGACTGCCACATTAGCAGAGTCCTTACCACCTCTCTGAGGGCATTGAGAGGCCCTGGGGGTGGTAGGACATCACCCCAGAACTCCTCTGCCCTGCTGGAGACCAGTGCCCTGTTCCCACCGCAGCTGGAGCCATGGAGAGGGATCGCACCAGGCACAGGCACAGGCACTGGTGTATGCAACCCATCCCTGGGGTCCCTGGGCTGCCTCCCAGACTCCTGTGTGGTGCAAGGCTGTTATGGGGTGTCTCCAGCTCCCCCAGCCTGGTAGGAGCAGTGGCCAATGAGTGATGCACGATGTCCCTGTGCCCTGGGGACACCCCTCTGCCCCTGTGCCACCGTGATGTCCATATGTCCCTGTACTGTGGTGATGTCCCCATGTGCCTGTACAACCATGACATCGGTGTGCTCCTGTACTGCCTGCATGGCCCCGTACTGCTAGGACACCCACATGTCCCCATACCACTTGGACACCCACATGCCCCTGTACCCCTGGGACAACCCACCTCAGTGCCTTGTTTCAGCAAGTTCTGGAACTGGGGCCAGAACTCCCGGCGCAGGATCCACTTGAGCTTCAGTGGCAGTGTCTCACCCGGCTCCAGCGACCCCTGCACCAAAGCAGATGTCAGCTGTGGGGCTTACCATCAGCCCAGACTCCCTCACGGCCACCAGCTTGGCCATCGGGTGGTTGCCACCACCGCAGAAGACGCCGCAAGCTCTGGTGGGGGGAGCAAGCAGCGGTGATGCTTCCTTCCCTCCATCTCCTGCCCCTCCAGCTGTGCCCAAGCATGTGTCTGAGTTTGCCTGATTCAATGTCTGTACCTCTCTGTCAAAGGACATCATGGCTTATTATCATGAAGGACGTGAGAACTGAAGGTGTGGAGGAGCAGGAGAGAAAGGTTCAGGGTACCTTCTGCAGGAGGGTCAGAGGTGCCTCCTCGGACAAGGCTGTGACAAACCCATCTGTGTTTCTCCCTTTTCTGCAGGGCATCCAGCTGCAGGGCTGGGCCAGCCTCGTCTCCCCACACCCTTCTGCACCAGCTGGTTTCCACCAGCTCTTACCCCAGGCAGAGCCCAGACATCGGATAGTGGGTACTGGGCTACCAAGACTTCCAGCATCTTCTTCAGGCTCTTCCTTATAATGGACCCATCCAAATTCCTCCTCCAGCTGTGAGAGAGGACCCTGTTGCTGCAGCTGGACTCAGCTCCCCCTGCCCAGCACTGGTTGAATGAGCAGCAGTGGGTTTTGCCAGGTCCCAGTCTCTCCAAGATGGCTTCATGCCCCCTTTTCCATTCCACCTCCCCAGATCCGTCCTGGAGCAAGGCCACCTCTCTGCCCCCACACACTCACCGGGTCACAACAGGGTGCAGGGCATGGTTGGGCCCAAAGCAGTGCAGCCTCCCACGGCCTCGCAGCCCCGTCCTGCCCATGGGGTTCCTGGCGGGGAGAGAGCAAGTAGGCTGGAA